AGCTTACCCACAACTCAAGCACTGAAGGGACGACACTTACTAGGATTTGACGGAGACCTGTAACTTTCGAGTTTCAATTCTGCCTTCTGTGAATGCCAGTAGTGAAGGCCAAGCAGGACGTGGTGAATGAGGGAGACTTGCAAGCTTAGAGCCTCAGACATGGGATGTGACTGCGAGGTGGAGGCTTATGACTTGACTTTCAGTTCTTCCTTCTGTAAATGCGAGTGGCGAAGGCGAAGGCAAAGGTGAATCCAACCACGATGTTGGGGAATGGCCAAACAAGGAGCTCTTCCGTCAATGATGGCAGGGAGCAGAGATCTTGGAGAAGGCAATTTTGGCTTGGGTTTGAGGGAGGGAAGAGCCGACACTATGCAAGCCTAAGAGGAATCAGGGGAGGGAAGGGGAATTAGGGAATTCGACTGGAGCAAAACTGGAAAAGAGAAGGAGTGGTTTTTTTTTTAAATAAAATGGTGTTGTTTTGAGATGTCTGGCAAGCAAAAAATAATAATAAACTGGGTAACCGACTGAACCAGGTTACCCGGTTTAATACCAGTTTTTACCTGTTAAACTAGTTTTTTACCAATTCATTAAATTGCCAATTCACCAACTAAACCAGACCGAACTGCAGACCGATTCATTGATTTTCTGGTTGAGCCGGCTAGTCAAGTCCGGTTTTTTTCCCTTGATTTTTAATATTACAGTGGATAAATTTGCCCCTTTACCCTAAAATTTTTATTCCCCTTACCTCTCTTTCATTTCACTCATACCAAACAAACTCTTAAAAGGCAAGCTAGTGGAAGAATTGTGGAGGTGGAGGCTCACGAGGAGTTTATTTTTACTATTGATGATATGCTTGGTTGTTTGTTATTTTTGGTGTTGCTTCTTCATTCACTTCAATATACCCTGCAATATGCATTCTCTCCATCAAGTTCTTGATGATAATAATTAATAAAAAAAATATTTGAACACTATCAAAATTAAAATAATTAACCTGTGTTGAACATGATCCGAATAATTGTATTAGGATCAAGAATTCTTTCTTTAGACATCGAATAAGCTTTCTTCGGGCAATTAAGCAAGGAAGTGTTAAACATTTTCAGATATAGGAGTTACTTATTACGTTAGAAAAGAATAAAGAAATTTTAATCAATAATAATTTAACATTAAACACTATTTATAAAAAAAATGATGGGAATGAAAAATGTGGGTTAATACATGAAGTTAAGGTGCCTTTATGACAATTCTCATAGAAATTGCTTGATTTCTTGAGTAAGTCAGCAATTGATTGAGATTTTCAAGCTATGATTAAATGAAAAATCATAATTTGTTCATTAGAGTATCTATGCTCATAATTTTATCCATTCTTCAATCATAATATCATAAATTTTTCAAATCATACTCAAGGTCAGATTAATATGCAACACATTGATTTCATCTGATGTATTATCACTCTGGAATTTACGGTTTTTCTATCCATTTCCTCTTCTACTTTAATTTTCGGGAGAATCCTAAAAAAAATACCATTAAATTTTTCAAAAAGACAAATTAGTGACTCCAATTTTAATGATATCCAACCAGCTCACCTATATTAAAATGGAATTTGTTGCGTTTTTACCATATTACCCCTCTCTTTTTTTTGAAAAGAAAAACATCTTAGTGCCCCACGTTAGCGGCTGGTATTTTCTGGGGCAAAGTTAATTATCCAGATGTAGCATTTGCTCATCAGGTGTAGTAAATAACTAATGAAGATATTATTTGTGAAATATTAATTGTGAGAATAATTTTTTAACAGAGAGTCATCAAAGATCAAGGAAGTATGTAATATTTTCACTCAATACTAAGAACAAAGATGAGGACTTATATGAGAGCAATTAAAATGGAGGATGGTGATTGGACTGATTGTGAACATTTAATTTAGCATTTGGCCTTTGATCGCTTTAGGGACATTCTTATGAGATATAACAGACGAAGATATGATTATGTTCTTAAAGATCTTCAATAATATACTTACCACTGCCTACTCTAGAGGATGTAGACTCATCCTCTTTAATGGCTTCACTTTCCACTGAGAAAGTCATACTAGCTGTTTTTGATCTTCCAAATGATAGTGCTCCAGGACCTGAAGAATTCCGTGCTTACTTATTTAAGAACCATTGGAACTTGATCCCTAAAGGGGATAGAGTCCGGAATTTGACAGGTCTTAGACCTATCGGTTTATATAATGTCTCATACAAGATCATCTCCAACGTTATATGCAATCAATTCCAGGAGATTCTGCATAAATATATTGCTCCTTTTCAGAATACTTTCTTAAAGGGAATAAGGTTCTTAAACACCCTGAAATTATCCACGAAAGAGCACCTAGAATTTTTTTTTTTTTTGTTTGCTCTTATATGCTGTGGAAATTTATTTTTATAGAAAAAAATACCTTACTGTTATCCATCGTTAAGTTTGACCATTAAATTATATAGTTTGTCTAATGTCTTTAATAGTCAAACTTAATGGTAGATAACGGTGCTGGATAAAAATGCTACAAAATAAAACTTTCAAGACATTTAAAAACAAAAAGAACTTCTAAGTGTTGGGTGCTTCTTCGTGAATACTTCTAGAGGTATTTAAATATCTTATCCCTTCTTAAAGGGACGACTTAAAAGCTGATTTTTCAAAGGCCTTTGATAGACTTTCTTAGAACCTCATTGTTAAAGTAATGAAAAGAATGGAATTCCCAAATAAATGGGCGCAGTTAATCGAACAGTATGTTTCCACTGAGTCGTTATCTAATTCTCATTAATGGACACACCACCTGGAATTTTCCTACCTCATTGTGGCATACGTCAAGGAGATCCTTTTTCTCCATATTTGTGTATTCTTTTTGCTAATTTTCTTTCCTCCTTCGTAAGTCAAGGAGATCCTTTTGCTCCATATTTGTGTATTCTTTTTGTTAATTTTCTTTCCTCCCTCATAATGAAAGAATTGGTGGGTGGAAGGGTGTTAAATTTTGCCAATCTCTGCACCACCAATGTCACCCCTTCTTTATGAAGATGATCCTGCATTATTCTTTGATTGCTCCAGAGATGGATTTAATTATGTGAAGGAAATCTTAGACATCTATTGTTCATGGTCTGGCCAGCAGATCAATTTCTCAAAATAAAGTCTGGTGGTTAGCCCAAATGTCTTCCATTCGAACAAAAATGAATTTGCAAGATTTTCGGGTATTAATGTTACAGAGAGGATCGGGAAGGACTTATGAACTTGGGTGGATGCGGGAAGAAACATGACTTATATTTATCTGCATCCAATCAATTCAGTTCAAAGGAGAATCTGCTGATGGAAAGCCATAATCCTCTCACAGGCTTCTGAAATAATTAACTTTGATCAAGTTTGTTTTGTCTTCTGCTAACATCAATGAAATGTCTCGCTTCAAACTCCAATTGAAATATGCATGGTTAAGGGTTATTTTTATTTTGGACGTATTCATGAAAGAGCTATACATATTTGAAATTTTGTTTTCTCAGTATTGCCCCAAAAGTTTTAGGGGGGGGAAAAAGCAATGTCACCTATTCCGTTAAAAATATTAACAGTTAACATTAGTTTTGTAATACTCCTCCGATCCTAAATGTAATACCCTTATACAAGTGTGTATAAGGGTCTTACATTTAGGACCGGAGGAGTAATTAACATTAGTTATTAATGGAAAGGGTGACATTGCTTCTTCCATCACTTGGCAGGAAATCCTTTTTTTTATTTATAATTTCTCCTCTTACCATGTTGATGTAATTTCTAGAAATAATTTTCTTTCAAATATTGCTAATAAAGGTTACCTGACTGTTTGTAATATTTGAATTTTTTATTTTAATATATCATTTTGTCATAATTCCAAAAAAACAAAAAAGGCTGCTTTTTTTTTTAACACTTCCAAGGCAATATTAAGCCAAAAAAAAAAATTCAGATACCTATAGCTCCTTTATGAATACTTTCAGGATAAAAATGACTCTTAATCTCTAAAATGTTGTAGACTAATAGATTCAATGTGCATTGATTTTTTTTTTCCTTGGTTAAGAAGAAAAAGCATCTTCCAAACGGAAATGTACTCCTTGCTCTAGTGAAAGATGGGGTATTAGGATGGAGACCAACACATCAAGTCAGTATGTCCCTGCTAGCAAAATAAACTTGACTTGCGTTATGGTTCTCCGGTTGCTTCTCTACTCTCAAGGCGAAGTACACTGATCTGAACGAAACACAGCTCCTAAAGCCAGATGATGCTTCGTGGTTTTGGTGGGCTATTAGAAGAAACCGGGAAATTGGGGATAGATTTAATTTATGAACAATGCTGATGTCAAATTCTGTCTATTTATTATGATAAGTTTTCCAATCGCACATATCATGTGTCCTGTTTTTGAATTATTATTATTAAACTAAAAATCCACTTAAAATTATATATATATATATATATATGTATGTGTATGTATAATTAAAAAACTTAACATAATAAATATAAAAAAACTTGATGCAAATATTATTCTTATTTCATATCTCAGATCTCATTGTTCACACCAACAACCCGGGGAACCCAATCAAATGGAATACCAGCTTGGTCCGATCTTGTAATAGCAACGAAATCAGTTCTCAAATAATCACTTTCCTTCTTGGATATTGAAGATAAGGCATTATAGATCAACAATTCAAGGGGTCGTTACACTGGAAGGGATGGTTTTATAGTTACAGAACTTTTGAAACAGCAATTTCCGCCTTGAGTTAAAAGTCTTGGACTTTGGTCAGATCTTTGCAAGTTGGAGTGAAATCCCCAATTCCAAACTCGGGATGATCAACAAACTATCAATCTAAAAGAAAAGGGGGTGGTCAAAATGAGAATAAACAAAAGATGGAATTCCATTATTCAGATACGATATGCTTTCTACACCTGCCATGGAGAAGTTTTTTATTTCCGTATTTCATTTTATTTTTAGGTAAGTAATATATTTATCTTCCTTTAAAAAAACAAAAAAAAAAAACCTGGCTCGATCCCATTTTACATGACTCCAATCCCATTTTACAAAATACGAAAACACAATCTCAGGACTTTACCCTGTGATATGATATAGAACTTCTCATGCAAGTCCAACAAAACAAATCTCATGGATACAGAGATGAATACTTCTACACTTAATGTATAACCATATTACTCCTTGGATGGCATCAGACTACTACAAACAGAAAATAAAGTATATAATAGCATTCATTCACACTTTGCTTCAAAATTCAAAACTCAATCGTGAGAATCCGATGCAATACTATGTTGTTGACACCTCTGAAAGAAAGCAAGTGAACACAGACACAGCATCTTGCAAGCGTCTCGAGCGAAGGTCTTCTGGAATTGGAGCTTTGAAGACAGTGTCAAAGCAATTCAACTGGTCATCACGAGTCGTGCCTTCACCAATTGTCGATAGCAGCAAATCAGATATCTCTTCTGCCATCTTTGAATATACCATCCTGCATAAACGGTAAATATGAAATTATAACAAAAAAGTTTTATAGATGGATAGATGGCCAATCATACTGGACCAATTATTTCTAGTCATATAGAGGTCACTTGGCATTTTTCCATGTCGTTTATTGAATGAGAGCAAGGGAACCCCATGCAAACTAACAATATACAAGTAACCATATAAAGATCCACAGAAAACAAAATTTAAATAAGTACTAAAACAAAACAAGGATCATAGGCCACCATAAAAGAGAAAAGTAAAGTGCAAATGGGTAATACAAAGATTCCCACTATGACTCTGACAGAGAAGTCCAAATATTTAATCCTCTTGCGTTTTCTCTAGATAATGTTATTGCCCCGATGACAAACCTTACTAGACTCCATACACTTTCTAATTTAATAGCATCTTTAACCAGTATATTTTGCTCAGAATATTGTACCAGAAACATCATTCATAAGAGACCAGACAGGATAACTGTAAATACAGACTCTATTCGGAGAAATCCTAAGATAGATAATATTTTTTTAGACAGGGCAATCTTAATTAAACTAGGACACTTCATTAAATCTTAAGCTCTAGGTCTCCAAACTTGAGGGAAAAACCAATTGTAAAATTGAAGAACAAGGATAGAATAGTAATCCCATTACAGGACGGAGTATCCAAAATGGCAAGCGACATAATCGAAAATTGGGGGTAAATAAAGAATCGGTTCCATCCTATTTCTCTCTCTTCAGGTCTTGCATGCCTTCTCCCGTCCCTTTATTCTTTCATGCCTCTTCAAAAACACAACAATTCTGATCCAAGTCTCAATCTTGACAACAATTTCAATGGAATCAGTCAGTCCGTGCTTTCAACCAGGGAAAAAACACGAGGATAGGGGGAGGAGATCTATAACATATACAATTTTTCCACACCTACTAAGAAACTAGCAATTCTGGGAAAAATGATATTAGTAGACATCCAAAGGCCAGCAAAAGCATCAGAATATGAGCTACGCATGCAGGTGGCTATAAATTATAAAAGACTATGATAGAACCCTCTCCTAAACAAACTTACAACAAGACTAAAAACCGGAAAATAAACACAGCATAGGAATACTTGAGATTAATGATACTTTTACTGCATAAAAGATGATTACACATAAGAGATGTCAAACAAAAGTTACAACACACTCGGAGAGACAAGATACAGGACACAATACACAGGACAGGAACTCTAGAAGACACGAGTTTGCCAACTGTCCGAGAGGATTGGCTCTCCCCCTCCAAAGACCTTAGCCACACTTCCCAAAATTCTTCTCCGCCTCTCTTTTTCAACCAAAGGGAATATAAAGACCAAAAAAGTGACAATCACAGCCCCTCTAATCGACTTTGACTACAGCAACCCTATAGCTACCCTACTTCTCTATGTGCTTCTCCAAAATAGTAGGAGTCTCCCAGTCAAAGCTCTGAATAACAAAAGCATCTTTCCCCTTTCATGTATTTTTCTAAGTTTGCAAAACTGATCGTAACATTACCCTTCCCTTGAAGCTTCTCCTTGTGCTCAAGGTGAGACTTAGTAGCAAGCATCAGCAACTCCCTCTCTATGCGGCTCGGCTTTCAAACCAACTTCTTCTCCTCTATCCATCGCTTCACCTCCCCCGAATCGTCTTCCACCTCTAATAAAATCATCTGTAAATTTTCGTTTTTACAAATGTTGTTTAGCCCATACCTCCCGGCACTTTTGAAGTAGAGTCCCAATTCTCTCCCGTGATCGAGCTCGGCATCTGATGGGCAGCGTAAAGCTCCTTCTTTCCTCCATGCAGCAGCCCCAGTCGAGTTGCTGGCTTGTTGTGACACCTCTGTCTTCCTCGCACCATTCATGAGCGCTTCTCCCTTCTTTGTGATGTCCGTGCGCAACATTACAGTGATCGTTCCCCTATTTATTTGCAACACACGTGAGAAAAAAGGATGGGCTGAATGGGCTTTAGGCCCAATGCTGCTATGGGGTGTTTTGTTAACCCTACGGTCCATCTCCTCCTCCATAATTCAAAATTTTTCATCCATGCAGATCGCTTTCTCCATGATCTCATCTAGTGTCTTCATGTTGACCGATTTTAGCTCAACTTGGATCTCTAGTTTTAATCAATCAAGGAATGCTCCAATCAAACATTCTTCTGAAGCATCTTTCAGAGGCACTGACAAGTGTTCAAATTCCTCCACATATTCAACAAACAAACGTTCCTACCTAGCTGCAAATAATATCCAGTATTCCCCTCCTGGTTGTGCAAAGTGAAAATGCTTGAGCGTCTCTCTTTTGAAGTTAGACCAACTCCTCATAGGTGCTCGAGTCTCCTTCCATTGGCACTAGTTCAAAGCTTTGCCTTCAAGGCAAACCATTGCCGCCTCTAATTTCTCACCCTCCACTAGGGTATTAACGCTGAAATAACGTTCAACACGAAACATTCATCCCAATGGGTCTTCTCCAAAGAACACTGGTAATTCCAACTTCCTATATCGCCCTATATCCTTCTCTCCACCACTCACTGGGTGTGTCGTCTTCCAAGCTAGGTTATCCGAACATGTGATTCAGCGCCATTCTTCGTCTTTTTGTTCGCTGCCTCCAACCTCAATACTACTTCTCTAATGACGCTCACCCCTCCGGATAGGTCATCTACCCTTCTAGACAGGTTTGCACTGTTTCCTCTAACTCTTGCACTTCATTCTTCATTGCTACCTTCCCTGGATCTCACGACTCTGATATCAAAATGATAGAACCCTCTCCTAAACAAACTTACAAGACTTAAAAACCAAAAAAAAAACAGTCTAGGAATGCTTGAGATCAATAATACTTTTACTGCATAACAAAAGTTACAACACACTCAGACACAACTCTCACAACTCACAAGATACAAGACAAAATACACAAGACAGGAACTCTAGAACACACAAGTTCACCAACCATTCGAGAGGATTGGCTCTCTCCCTTCAAAGGCCTAAGCCATACTCGTCAAAATTCTGTCTCTCCTCTTAAACCAAGGGGAATATAAAGGTTTCACTCAAAAAAAAGAAAAAAAAGGGAATATAAAGACCCAAAAAGTGACAATCACAGCCCCTCTCATAGACTTTGACTACAGCAACGCTATAGCTACCCTACTTCTCTATTTGTTTCTCCAAAATAGTAGGAGTCTCCCAGTCAAAGCTCTGACTAAAAAAAGCATCTTTCCCTTTTCATGCATTTTTCTGAGTTTGCAAAAGAGATCCTAACAGACTACAATGTTTTATCCAGCAGACCATAAAGATATCTTAAGCATTTTATCTTGCATCACAAAGGACAATAATCATTACCTAGCATCAGCAGGTAATCTGGAACCCCAAACAGCCAAGGATTCATTTAGCTGACTGATAAAATCCCAACAAGTAGCGTTTTTACTCTGAAGAGAATCCTGGGAAAAAGGGAAACAAGTGATTTTTTGCCCAGAGAAATAATTACAAATTAGTATGTCAACATTAGAAATTCTGATTCTATGTGTACCCAATCTCCTGTTCCAGAAGCAAACACACCAGAATACCAGCAAAAGCTAATATTGCATACTTGCCAAATATCTCTAGAATGTCAAGATTGTGTTGCATAAGCTATAGTACATGATTAACTGACTTTATTAGGCATACTAACATGAATATCTCATGGAGAATTTCCAAGAAATGAGAAACATGTGGAATGAATTTATAGCCCGAGAAAACAAAAGTGAAGTTCTTTCTCCACTGCTACATGTGACGTGTCCCAAAATATCATCATAAGGAATGATATATGCCTAATACAGGTTTCCACAGACAATGCCAGGCTCAGGTTCAAGCCTGTGCAAAACTGCGAACCTTAATTACAATTTACACTCATAACTTAACATCAGATGCACATTAAATTACAGAAGCAAATGCTATTCAAACACTCATGATATACACTTATAATTTAACTTCCATACCAATTCAGTCATAGAATTGCCTTCTTGAAGTGAATTCCTCATAAGATAGAATGAAACATAAACCCCAGCACCATACTCCCAGTTATCAATTTCAGATTTATGACCTTCCATGGAAGTTGCGATCCTCCATATCTGTGTGTGTTTAGCTGCATAAGATACATAGGAAGTTACTTATGATACACATATCTGAAGCTAATGAAAAGCTAAAGTAATTTTTCCTGCCATAGGGTGATGACTCGATAATCAAACAAGTCCCAGAAATAATTAAAGTAATCAGAAATTGAAGAGCTCAGTGCTTGAGAATTCCGCTATTTAGAGAGTGAATGACACAGCTTATTTTATTTAAAAAAAAAAAAATTGAATGACGCAGCAAAGAATATAATTCATCTTTCATTTCGAACTAATTTAAGTATAACGTTTGTTTAAGTTTTATGGGTATTTTCCATGTATTTCATTTAAACCACCAGTGTTATGAAAAACTGTGAACATAAGAATCATCCGATGGTATTTGAGAGTAAAATTGAAATCATTTCAGTCTTTAATCGCAACATGGGATCATGCAATTTCACAAAAATGATAAAAAGAACTAATAAGAAAAAGGTCCTCAACTACTAGCACACCAACAATTATCAGAAGTTAACAAAATAAAGCATGGCACAGATCACCAGTGTGCATTTATTTACTGACATTCAGTAGCATCGTTTACGGATCAATAGAATTATAGCTTACCAGACAAGAATAACTTATGAGCCACTGAAGTTACAAAAACAGTGTGGGCTTTCTGCCAATTTGCACACTTGAGAAAGTGCTCGAGAGATTTTGAGAGGTCTCCATGATAGTTGTGATAAATTGCCTGCATTAGGAAAACAATATGATCAAACAAAGAGGCTTTGCAAAAAACTTAGAACTTACAAGGCTTTTGAAGAAGAAGAAAGCCAGAATGAGTCACAAACAGTAGGGAAAAAAAACATACTTATGCAATTTTATTGGAATTAATTATATGGCCTAAGAATTTCATTAAGGTTTAATCTCATGCAAAGGGAAAAAAGTTATCTATACCATAGCCTCATGTAGCCATTCAATAGGAACACCCAAGTCCTCAATGAATTGACGTTGAGAAGCATCAGAACTCCAAGTTTCACAGTATTGGAACAATATTTCTCGAATCAGATTTACATGAAGATATGGATAATCTTCACAATGGGGCATGTGAAGGACCACATATATGGCCCAGTGGCATTTCCCTGAAGACAACAACTGAGACACAAGTCCCATGTCTAGAATATGAAGATCATTAGAACTAATGACACCAACCGCTTCTAAGACTGCACGTTGATGCCAGATCATATGATAATCAAGTGGATCAGGGGTTGAAGAAAGGGCACTGAACATGGACTTCAGAAAGCTGAAATCTGTCTCCTGACTGGCATGAAGAAGCATGAGATAAAATGACAGATCAAAGTGATTATTTGAGTTCCAGTTGACGGCCTCATTTGGTGGTACTTCATCAATATAAAGAGGAAGAGGATATGGAGCCCTTCCTTTGTCAAGATGATGTTTGTAAGTCTCAAAAATAATGGGCAATGATGAATCAGGTGGTAATTGGTACCACATCAATAAACCCAAGAACCTCCTCCAATCAAGATTAACATCAAACAAGGCACCATGTATATTTCCTGCAACCAACTCGTAAAGCCTTAATCTGCTCTTCTCAATGAAACTAAAATCCAGCCTATTGATTCTCCAAAGATCAAGTTGCCTGGCAACATCTGAACGATTCAGAGTTGAACCACCTGCCTGACTTAACAAAACAGCTAACCTTACATCTCCCCTGGACACAGCCAATTGCACGGCTGCATCCAGCTGCCTCCCCGTCAGGAGGACAAAAATATTTTGTAGATAATCAGACTCATTCAATGAGCTTATTTGATTTTGAACATGATAGGAAACACTCTCTTGCAACCAATAGCTGAACTCTGCCCTTCTCACAAGAGGGAGTGCTTCTGGCTCAATGTCTCGACTAACTTCCTTCATGTCCTGCATCATATCTTCCTCATTGTCAGCACCCAAAGATTCTACTTGCCCTTTTTGTTGCCGATCAGAAAAAAGAACCCTGATCAATTCCCAGGCCATTACTTGGTGTGTCAAAACCAACCGAGCAGAAGACGATAACCCAGGAACAGCCAATTGCCTCTCAATAATATCACAGTACCCATGAGAAATATCTGAGAGCATTGTACGATTAGCTTCAAGCTTTTGAAACTTCAGCTTGCATGTTCCAACATCAACTTCTTTTATGGCATGGTCTATTCCCTTGTGAAAATGTAATGGAGTGTTGAACGCAAAGTCAGCAAGTTCCTCACTCACTTTGTCATTTTCATCCCTAACCACTTTATCAAAAGCAACTTTCTCCAAATTGACCACAGATGACAATACCCTGTGACCTCTATCACTTCCTACAGGTGCACCTGTATGTACAAGAATGCCACTTGGTCCCCAACCTACTCGAAATGACCTACCCATGAATAAACCAGCATCGACTATGTTGCGAGCATAGTTTCCAGATATTGAAGTTTCATGATTCATATCTAGTTTAAAACCTGCTTTTAGTGTTCTAAGAGGCATCCCTTTATGTTGTTGAGCCATCAGAATGGCTCCAGGAGGGCTTGAATCAAAACTCCCATGTTTATATTCAAGCAGTGCTAGTGGAGTTTTTCGTGGAACAGGTGGACTAGATATATGGGACACAGGATGAGCAGAGCTGTGTACAGGTCTTACATGCTCTTTACCAAGAGATGATTTCTGACTTAATTCATCTGCTTCATCATCATCAGGAAACATCAGCAATCTCATTTCTCTCATTTTTACTGGGTCAAGTCTAAGATGTGCAGGAAGAGAATGAGATAGCTCAACTTCATCAAAATTTGGAGTTTCTTTATCAACATCATATATGTCAGCATCATCCATCTGATCTGGATCTTGAACTGCAGCAGAATCATCCATAACCACATCTTCTTCATCCTCTTCATCAAAACCAAATCTACTAAAGTGTTCAACCAAGAATTTCCATTCACCAGTCACCGGATCAAAGGATATAAATTGTGCTCCTTGTCTCTCTAAGCTTTGTTTTAATTTACTCACCAAATCATTTCCCTGGCACTCCTTAGACTTCAATGATCTACTGTCTAGTATCAGAACTACCTCAGCATCCTTGTTAAGGCCCTGACCAACCGCCGGCTTATCAATTTCATCATTGTATACAATTATCTCATGCTTATGAATTTTCACTATTTCATCTAGATTTAAACCTGCGACATCCGTGTTCTTAAGATACCTGACAGAGCCATAACCAAATCTTCCAATGGTGAAATCAGGAACACGGCTACAATAACCAGGATCTTGGAGCTCCTGAGTCAATAACTCCTGAAGTGATGGTTTCATATAGTATTCTGATGAGTTCAACACGGGAAGGGAAGATCGAATATTTCTCATTATCTCACTTGATGAAGTAACAATGTTTTCAGATACCCTTCTTTTCTTGCAATTATATAACATGCATGAATCAGGTATCCCTCCTGTGTTACAATCCATCACACAGCCAGAACCAAGCGACATGTTGCCTTTCAAACAACCACATCCAACAAAATTCCCTGAAGTGAGAAAAGTATCTCAAATTAATATTCTTGAAAGAGAATTGTTAAAACAACAATGAAGATTCAACAGAAGCTTGCCAGATTGGAACCATGACCAACAAGATAATGACTCATGGATACTGCATCTCATGAAACCACCATGAATGAAGGTAATAACAGAACACCAAACCCCATTGAGGGTCAATGAGAAATTATATATATTATATGGAGGATAGTTTCTACTCCTCCGGTCCTTAATATAGAACCTAATTGTTAAGTTAATTTTGGTCCTAAATATAAGACCTATTTCTTATATTTATCAATTTTTCCTAAATTACCCTTATAGATACTCCCTCAACCATAATCATGTAAGTGAGGGAATAAAGATATTAAGAAAGATGATTATGGTGTTTTAAGAAAAATATGTCATATTTCTTATAAGTAACTGACTTATCTAACTTCCTTACACTAATCAAATTAGTTAAGGAGGTCTTATATTAAGGACTGGAGAGTATTTTCGAAGCAGTTTTTTTATCTCTAAATTTTAACTGAACAATTACCAAATGAAAAACAGAAGGCTATTTTTGCAATCTGTTTATATATCAAAAATTAATCCAGGAATTATGTTCAATAACTTGTAATTATAAACATCAAAACCGTCAGTGCCACTCAAACTTTTGGATTTCTAGTGAGACCATCTTGATTTCACTAATCAAGTCACAAATTTGAGTCAGCAACATATGACAAAAAACTATCATATCATTTGCAGTTATCCAAGTGCATCTTACAAAGTGAACCATGAATCTTGGCGAAGACAGAAAATTTCACATATATGTACAATTGAAGAAATTAAAAAATAAAATAAAAATCCATTCACCATCACATAAAACTGAAACCTAATCTACTTACGTTGGTGTCACGGCAAAGTCAGATAAAGCCAATTAAACAGCAAATATCCATTCATACTTCCCTCAGAAATATTCAAATTTTGCTTTCCTAAATAATTTTGCGATACACCATGACCAAGTTAACAGATAATCATATTTCTCTTTTGACTAATATCACTGGGTACAGCAAACAAAGGGCACAAATGACAAAACATTCTCTAAAGGATAACAAAAACGTTGAGTCTATGTGTCTCTCTTCACTAAAATTAGGAAACTTCAGCTATATAGAGATGATAGATTGCTTGCCATAATTCATTGGCATTGGATTGAAACAGGCAAATCATTAATGTATAGAGACATAAAAGTAGAAACAATAAGTGAATAAACATAACTCATTCACAATACTGTTTTTCCCTGAAAATTCAACCCTATCGGCTGGTAGTTTAGCAGTGATGATCCAACAGATGGAGGATTGTTTGTTTCAACAAAGAAAGATCTATTGGGCCTCCACGACTTGACAGTTTTCTGTGAAAGGTAAAGCTAAACCGCAGTCATGATGGAGAATTCAAGACACGTGACAACCTTCACATTTCATTTACTAATTTCTCTTTAGTTTTCTGTGAAAGGTAAAGCTAAACCACAGTCATGATGTAGAATTCAAGACACGTGCCAACCTTCACATTTCATTTACTAATGATTTCTCTTTCATTTTTTAATATAATTATTACATTAATCTGCATGCTTGTATGATGAAACAAACAAAGTAACACCAGTATCTGACTCTGTCAATACACACAAATATTGAATAGTTTGAAATAAGCAAACCAAGCAGGTATTCTAAAGGGTTCAGCAATTCAATCATATCTTTACAAAGAAAATAAATAGCTAAACTACAGAAGCAACGGATCATGAGAAAAGTGAAATTCACTAATGCCAAACATTAGGCTAGAAATGATAATACTAACATGCAGTAAACTTCGGTCATGAGTGAAATTAAAGGTTGCATTCAGCTACAATTAGATAATCCCCTTTATCCATACGGCTAAATACGCACTTACGAGGCACAAGCTAATGAAATACGACCTATTATCACATCAGAATGTGCCCCCACAACAAAATTCCGCCTTTTCATTCGTCCCAAGTTAGGGAAGATGCTCAAATGCTTGGAATTGATAGCAAATAGCAGTATTACAGTGGCACGTATCCGCCAAGAACGGCTACAAATGGTCTCACGAACCAAAAGAGTGGGGAAGAAAAATCTCGAGAAAACGGAAGGACCAAGAAGTTTAAGAGGAATCAAACACTTAGGCAGGATCCGACAGAACCGCCATTGTTGGTTTTCAGATAAGAAAGCGGAAAGTGAAGTGAATCATACAGAGATGGAAGTGCATAGAAGGTGAAGAAGAACAAGAGTCTGAAATTTCTGGCAATGTCAGTTAGTTAATTAGTTCACGAGAAAGCCAGGACGGAGACAATGAGAAGATTACCTTGTTGAAGAAGACCCAGAGAAAGAAGCAATGTCGAAACACGAACAAGCAATTTGGAGAAGCCCCAAGTAGAAAGAGCGATCCCGCACAAGGAGAAAAGCCGCAGAAAGGGATTTGGATAGTAAAGTAGTAGAGCTTAGAAGAATAAGCTAAGCTCAAGCAAACAAGATTTGGCGAGAAAGAAAAGCAAGAGAAGACCGAATGGGCACTGGGGAGCCTCCTTCGTCGTCGCGAGGTGATAGAAGCCTATGCGGGACTGATGGGCGGGCGTCGAGACGGGAATTGAGCTTGGGCGCCTCTTTAGTTTTTTGGTTTTTTGTTTTTTGTTTTTCCGAGTGAATTGGTTTTTTGTTTTTTGTTGGTTAATACTCGTATGATTTTTAGCTTTAAAATTTGAATTAGGTTTTGGTGCCTCAAATTTTAAATCACTGTTTTTAATCTCTAAAATTTAATTCATTTTAAAACATTAGTCTCTAAAAATATAATGATATTAAAATATAGTAAAATATCATAAATTACATTAAAGTGGTGATATAAAGTTATAATAAGATATCCAGTTAGATCTTGTGTGTGTAAGAGAGAGGGATGAATTTTCCAAAATGCAGAATAGTCAACAACTCCCCACACAAACAGTAAGAAAAAAGGGTTAAATAGTTGTTTTTTAAGGACCTATTCTTTGTTTTCACCCATGTTATTGACACAAGATTCAATTAAGTGTTATATGGGGAGTTCACCTCACTACTTTAACAGTTTACGATGTTTTAATATAATTTAATACAATTACATTTTATGGACTAATGTTTTAAGACAAATTAAATTTCATACAGTATAGCCATGGGTTTAAAATTTGAATATTCAAAACTAGAATAAGCCAAAATTTCATGAACGAAAGTTATATTAACTCTTCTTAGAACAATTCTTTAGAATAACCTTTTTAGAAATAATTTAAAAATAAAAAGTTAAAAAAATTAACTTATATGACAAAAAGTTGCACCCTGCAAAACGTTATATGACCCTCAACTATTTGCTTTCACCAGGGAGTTATAAACTCTATGATTCCTTAATCACATCACATACCCGCAGTTTCGTTTTATTCTAAATTAATATTTCTTCTTTGATGGATTTCAGTCTGAAAATAATCCTATAAAACTCATCAATAACGTGAAACTTACCACACACATCAAACTAAAAATAAAAGTTGGGATTTAAAAGCTTGTGAAACATTATTGGAGAAAAAAACGCCTTAGTGCTAAAGGAGTAATCAATATTTTACCCACCACAATGCTTGTTTGTACTTTTTTCCGTAAAAAATTAATGCTATTTATTTTTTTTTTAAAGAAATATAGTCTGGGGGAGTTCTTAAGAAATAGGATCACTTTTGAGAATTTTTATAATGCTTATTTGAGTATTCAAATAATTGGAATCTTGAAAATATATTTTTATTATTTTGAGCAGCTACTTTGACAATGAGTGGCTTTCTTTAAAAAAAAGAATATTTATTTATAAATGAAGCTAAGATACATGAAAACACCACAAAATTTGAAAATTACAAAACAATCGCTGATTTTTTTTTATAATTGTGCCAACAGCAAAATATTTCTTTTTAATGATTTTTATATACAAAAAAGTTTAGGTGAGTTAATTCATAAAAGCTCACTATGATTAGGATATGTTTTTAGACTCAAAAAATACAAATCGTTTACCAATAATTTCCTTACATAATGGTTACCCATTAGTGACAACAACCAACAATCAGCGAACATCAATGGCCAGTCAACTTCAGAAGAAAGGCGAAATTTATTATTACATACTGTCCTAAATATAATAACTAATTAAATAATTTATAGAAATTAAAAAAATTAATTAAATTAGTTATTTATATAAAAATTATCTTTATATGAATTTTAAATTAAATTAAATAAATAATCAATATTAAATAATGGGTTAAGGTGCATTTAGTATTCCGAAATATTTTCTTAGATGCATCCAATAATTCGAAGTATTTTGTGGCACCTCCAACATTTCAAAGTATTTTTTTGCTTTGGTGCTGGATACACCAAAAAATACTTTTGGGTATTGAATGCACCTAAAAAAAACTTTGATGGGCTAGATGCACCAAAAAATGCTTTACGGTGTTGGACAAACCTAAAATAATACTTTAAGGTGCTGGATGCACCACAAAATATTTTAAGATGTTAGATGCACCTGAAAAAATATTTCAAGGTATTAGATGCACCTTAAACCTTAAATAATTCTATCTCAAAAGCTGAAAAAGATGTGACTTGTGATTAATTTTCATATCAAACTAAATGACTATGCAAAGAAAAATTAGTTGGGGAGGACAAACAATCTGAAACTTCCTTCTGTTTACCCCTTTTAGCAGGCGTTTGAAAGTGTTACGATGCAAATAGATCATGAAATAAACCTGAAGATTAAAAATTTGAAATTTGATTTTGGATTACTATTCATTGGTAAATTTCATATTTTTCATCCAATTTTTGAAAATTCATAACCAGTTGTAGAAAAATTGTTTTGAGGTGATTCAAATCTCCATTTTAAAACTCTTTTAATTCTCTACATGTAAAAAAATATAAATCTAGACTTAAACTTTCTCAATTCGTATAGTTAATTTACAAAATTTACTGTTTATTTGGTCAAATAGTACATGTTCAGATTCTCTGCCCTAACTTTGAGTAATCATATCTCTTAATACTCACATACATTTTAGGTGATTTATCACTTGTTTTAAAGTTTAGAATGTGTACTAACTATTTACCAAATTTCAATGGTAGATTCATTTGTTTTACATCACTCTTGCTCCTTCTCAAATTCGTTGCTCATTATGGGAAAATTTATCCCCCTTTTACTTACATTTAACAATTCATATTCATTTCTTACATACTCATAATCATTCTAACATTGTATAAATCATACTAATATATCAGTATGCTCAACTTTACATGCCATCATTATTATTTAATATTACATAACACCAAGAGGCATGTTCATATATACATTAATATAAAGGTTACATCAAATACATAAGCACAATTATCACTTTCTTCTCTTCTTTCTTTGTTCTTCTTCATGCATTCCTCTTCCTTTACATATCATGCCTATTATGATTGGTTAAGAGAGGGTGAGATTTGGAAGAATCTCAGTAGCAAACATTACCCTTATGTATGCAATACAAATGCTAAGTGTATGACATGCTTGGTCTCATGCTCTCATGATTTCATGCTCATAAAATGACATGCTCTTATATTCAATATTCCATTCACACATGGCCATGGAATATACAAGAAATAGAGCAACATTAAATCTTTCATATTCTAAATCATCATCAAGTAACATCAACAAACAAGCATACATATCAAACACACAATAAGGGCAAGTTCACTACCTTGTGTCATTAAGTTTTCTCTTCGCTTCCTCTTGCTCCCTTTGCCTCCAACCATTTAGGTTGCTTGCTCAACCTTTTTTTATTCATCTTCCTTGATATCTTATAACTCTAAATATATTAGCACACAATGTTGTTCACTCACTATAGCCATGATCACAATCAATACCAACACTTTACTCTCTTTAAGCCACCTTGACTTTTAACTTTTGAGCTTGATTTTTAGTCTTCATAAAATTAATTTTGCATGCTATTTCACATAATTTTGCATATAGAATCCACTTCCAAAATCAAATTAAACAAAATCCAACCCGTTCCTCTTCAATTAGAGATGGTCAAATACTTAGAGTTTTTGGAGCAAAATTTTATTTTCAATTCCAATGCTTCCAAGCTTGCTTTCTAACTTTTATCCCACACAATTTTTCATTCTAAACGCAATAAAAGTATCAAAATCATCAAAATCTAATCAAAGCTCAAATCCTAGCTATGGATAAAAATATATAAAGGTTAAGGGAAGGTTGGATTCTTTGCAATCTCACCACAAAACCACTTGATTCTTGTTCTTTTATATACTTTAAACATAGTTCTAGCATCAATTTCTTCTCGTCCTCACTTTATCAATTTTGTGTAGCACCTCCTCTTAAAGATTTCATACTTTCAACTTCCATAAAACTTAGAACCAAGCTCAAAAACACAAGCAACACTAGAATCAAGGGCTAGGACCATACTATATACCTTGGTTGTTGGTTGATCCTTGCCCTTTCTTCTTCCTCTTCTTTCAACTCAAGAGCAAAATATTCCCTCCCTATTTTTCTATTTTTGGCTGAATTATTTGAATTAAGGGGTATTTATAAACAAACTTTTGGCTTGGATTTCCTATTTTGCCCTTGTAGTTGCTTGAAATTACAAAGGTTTTGTGGCTTGATCTCTCACAATCCATTCAAGCCTCTTGAAAAATGTATAAATCCTAGGCCATCTTGCTTAAACACTTACCATGTGTTATGCCACCTAGTGCACATGTGATTGTAAAACAATATTTTATTATATAATTCTATTTCTTCCAAGCATGGCCTTTAACAAATTGAACAATTCTATCCATATCTCCTCATCAAATTTGCATTAAAATATGGAGGAAAATAGGGAGAAATTTGTGCTCCCTCTCACCCTTGACTATTCCTCCACCTATTTTAGAATCTTACACCGTATCGGGTATTTTTTTTTGGGTTCTGACTTACCTGGTAATATTGGAACATGTTGTAGCACCCTTTTTTTCATCCCAAATAACTTTACACAGCATTATTTCACATGCATACGGAGGGAAGGATGCATTTCCTTTTGTTCTTTTATTAAGCATTTAATAATATTTATTTCCAAATAAACTTAACCCAATTCTTTCTACTGGTCCATAACTTCAAATATTTGTCTTCGGATACCAATACTACCTTTTCATCATAAGAAATTTTTTTAATTTTTCACAAGTCAAAAGTCAACCTATAAACAGTTTATTTTGACTTTTATTAGATAATGTATAAATAGGCTTTAAATTCTGTTAAAGTCAACCTCTCCACTTTCTAGGGCAAAATCATTTTTAAAACTTGTGATAATTCCTCAAGTATTTATTTCCTATTTTCCTCCAATTATATGAGGTCTTCTTATATTTTAAATAATTCAATTTATGCAAATATTCACAATTAGCCAAAACCTTGAGAATTTCATCAATTTGTTTTGAAAGGTATTTTTGTTATTTTTAGCCTCATACAAGCTTTGGATCTCATTTTCTATTTTTTTTGAAATCTTAAAAAAAATTTCTTAAATTTTCGGGCATACTTTCCATCATTGTCTT